AAATAAAATTTTCAATTACATAAAATTGAAAATAATTTTATAATTTTTAATTAAATTATACAGTGATTATAGTTAGTATTCAATTTGGTATTAAATTTAAGTTAAATACAATTCTCTAGTAAGTAGTTGCAATACAAAAGTCATCAAGTGTTTACACACTTGATTTTTTTTTTAAATTTAAGTCAGCTATTATGATTCACCATAAAAAAACTAGAAGACCGTCAGCAGTTGTGAAGTAATATAATATATTCAATAAAACTTTTTTCTTAAAATTAAAAAAAAACAATTACATACGAGTATAATAAAATTTTAAGGGCAAAAATGTAAAACAGGAAGTTTTATAAGAAATATTTTGTTATAATCATATCTCATTGCATATATTTAGGAGGGATAATATCAAAAACAGAATAATTTTAAAAATGAATTGATCCTTCAATAAATTATTATGAAAGTACTTCCGAAATGAATATAATAGCCTTTTGATTGAAAACTGAAATTTTATTAACAGTTTTTTAAGTTAGACTTCGAAAGCAATAAAAAAAGAAACCAATTTTTATTGCAAATGTGCGGCAAAATGATAACAAACAGTTATTTGATTCAAGGAAATCATTGTCTAGCCCGCAACATTATAAAATTTCATGAAATTTCATAATGTTCATTTAATTTTAATTTTTGGAAATAGGGAGGCGAACAAACGGATATGCATAGTCCATTTCAACTCAGAACGCGCAACACATATGTACTCGTATATACATACATATGATTTCTTGTAAGCGATAAGAACCATGTACCATGTCAAAAACCAATAAAAATTACTTAGGCATTTTCGAAAAAAAAGTTTCTGCTTTCAATTCTTTGTAGCCAACAAAGAAGCTTTTCAAATTCGGTGACGCCGACATATTTAAAAGTATCTTCTTTTTTTATTTCATATCTTTTTCGCAGAACACTTTTACATATTATACCCATTTTGACAAAAACACAGCAAAGGTATGTGGGCAATTTATTTCAAATAAATATTCTTAACTAGATAAAGACTTTTAAAAATCATTTCAATATTTTTTCTCGTATAACAATATACACTCATGTATCATATAAAATAATATGGATATTGTATTACGAACGTATACTTAGTTATCCTTAATTTTCTGTCCTGAAACAAAAAAATTTTCATACTTATATAGTACACGCGATAAAATTTATTTACTTTTATGTATATATACTTGTAAAAATCTGCAGGTAAAGAAATTATAGTACCTATAGCAATAAAATAAAATAAAATTTATGTGTTCAAGTAACGTGGAACAATGTAGCATGTGTTATATTCCAAAAATAAAAAAAGAAACACAAAATATTTATGACGGTTTAAGGCATAGGACAATAATAATTTCATAAATGCTTGTTTCTAAAAGCAATTCTTACTATATAGATTGTTAAAGGGAAACATTCATCAAAGATACGTTGTATGTCAGAATACAAAAGAAAAATTACCTCACGTTTTAAATTATTGTGACGCCTTGTAAAGCTTTTTAAAATATTATACAAGCGTAAACTTATTGCATATTACATCGTAAATACAAAGAAATTATAAAAATAACAAGTGACACTTGTGCTTGTATATGCATACGATGTTTATGCAATATTGTAACTCACTCTCATACAATAATTTTAATGGTAAAATGCAAAATTTGCATATGAGCACACATCATCGCATTTTAATTAGTAAAAGTGGTTAAAAAAAGTTTTGTATAAAAAATATTTTTTTTTTAATTTATTTAAAAAAAAATTAGTCAAATAAAGGACAAATAATTTTTCTATGCTCTTTTTTCTGTTAGAAAAAAACAAACATTTAATTGAATTTTAATGAAAAAATTCAAGTAGGTGTAAGGTACTCGATACACTGGTATTCGATATACCTTTTTAAATAGGTTTATCGTTAAAAAGAATGTGCTGAAAAAAAAACAACTACAACCTCAAAGAATTTTACAAAATAAATGCCTAGAATTCTTTACAGAATAAAATTTTACTAAAATGCTTTAACATCAAAATATTTCATACTAAATTTTAGCCACATGTACTAAGCAAATACGTTCTATATTCAATGAAATAATCATTTAAATTATTATAACAATTATTTTAGTAAATAGTATTAAAATATACCTAAGGCACATACGTGTACAAGTTGAATAATCTGATTTTCACTTGTTGACCAAAAATAAATTTTGCATTAAGAACTTATGTAAGCTAAGAAATAATGCTCTGAGATACAGTGACAAGGGTATGTTTTCGATCAGCGTCGAATTTTGAGTCTGTGCATCCGTGCGTCCTTCCCAACGATAACTCAAAAACTAATTGAACTAACTAAGTTCACCATATTTTATATGGCAGAATTGGACATGATCGGAGTACTAGTTCGGGTAGGTGCTATACAACTTCAAACTTTATTTGATTATATCTTAGAAACTATAAAATCTATGGTGTTGATCAAAATTATCAACTTTATATGAACTACTTAATTTAATATTTTAAAATAACTTGTATAACATTTTTTAAGCAAAAAAGTATGCAACTCCAATCAATACAATGACATTGGGCAATATTATGACATTTTCTTTTTACACAAATTTTAATAAAATTTTGAATAAATTAGAAACATAGCTTAAGTTGTTTATCTAAGAATTACATACGGCGAATATTGTGAACAATATGTAGAACTTGTAATTTATTCCATTTTAGTTTCAAGAATTTTTTTAAAATGCACTTTAAATTCAAAGTTTTAAGTACAAAACACTTGTTAGTTTAAATTGATTCTCCACTCTATAATGACAAAGTACTAGTTATTCTAAAACAAAGAATTGAAAAGTTTTTACTAAATTTTAATTTCGTCAGAAATTGTTCTATAACTCTATTTTAAAAAAAGTTTTGTATTAAAATTCTAATTGTAGACAAATACTAAAAATAGTAAAGAATTTTTTTAAATAAAAATTTTGAAATCGAGATCAATGTTCTAAATTACTAAATTTAAAATTTCTTGAACTTTGTTATTATTGTTAAAATTATAGATAAGTGTAGCAGTTTACTTACTTAAAGTACTCTAAATTTTGAATTCACCCAATTAATAAGAACATTTCCGCTTTTTTTTCTACTTTAGTCTAACCAAAATTTAAATAGACATACATACATACATAATATATATATGTAAAGTTTTATCGCTTAGAACAAAAATTATTTTCAGAAATATTAATAGTATTATGTGCACGCGTTCATATATACATCTACATACTATGTACATTTTTGTAATAAAATCGCGTATTCTAATAAAAATTTTGATAAGAAAAGTTTAGTGAAAATTTATCATTTTTGTTTTTATTTTTATATAAAAATTAAAAATTTTTCTTAATTTAATTTAACTTTTTTTTTTGTATGTAATAATGACTTGCTTTTCACTGTACGTAAGTGTATGGATGCTATCATCTAAAAAAGATTCTTCTTTAAATGTGATGATTATTTTTTCATAAAGAATTTGGAACTTTTTAAAAGAATGTTAGTAAAAGTTTGTTATATTAATTGTAAACAATTTTAGGATTATTTTTTGTTATATATATATACAAAATCTTGTAAATAAATATTGTGTTACATAATTTTGATTTAAAAGCATTAATATGAACTAAAGTTTAAGACACTAAATTGAATTACATTTAAACATCGAAGCTTAACTATGCAAACAGTAATAATAAGTACACTCAGGTAGTGTATATGAAACAATAAATATTAGAAAAGGGTTAAATAATCGTAAATAAATCACTTTTCATGTAAAAGGAATTAATTTTTGTTTATATAAGAAGAAAAATGGGTTACAGGTTAAGTAGATTGCATATTCATCTAATACGAGTGCCATTTTTATTTAAATTCTATTCTCAAATTCATGATTAATCAATACATTTTTAGCTAAATGAGATGAAATTCAAAATTTTCGTATTTTCAAATTTTACGTTTAAGTAAATAAGCCGGCGTTAAATTTCTGTGAATGCTTATGTATATAATAATTGTAAACGAGTATACAAATTTGTTAATAAAATTTAAGTATAACTCAAAATTTTCTACTTTTCAAAATTAAAAAATTAATATTTTGTATTCAATTAAAATTATACTTTTATTAAACTAATATGGTTGAATTATAATTTAATTATTCTGTAAAAGTGAGTTACAATTCAATTCCAAAATTAAGTAGATTAGATTTTACATAATTTTGAAGAAACTAGATGCTATGGAAAACTTGGATAGGCACTACCACCAATTTTTTTTTACATGAACTAGGCCTATTATTTTACCAATATTAACAGAATATGAAATGTACACGATAATGTGAAATATTTATTATTGTACCTCTAGATCTAGGTAAAGTTGACATTCTTTTAGATATAAAATTAGTAAACCATATTGAAGCTATGATTCACATTTATTTTATAAAAATTTTAAAATATGCGATTATTATAATTATTGGTAAATAGGAAATCATTCATAGAAATTGTAATAAATAAAAGTATGATTAGTATGTAGTAGATAACTAGTATGTAAGTAAGTAGGTATAAAATTTTTTATTAATATCTAATTTTTATTTTTTAATTTTCACACCAGGTTTTTTACCTCTTTCTAAATTCAATGACCTTCCATTATTTTATATAATATGGTAGGTATTTTATACCTTAGTGGCGAAGTAAAAGAGCAACAAAGCCGTCATGGTACAGAATATATTTTTCTTTTAACGAATACAACAAAGAGTAAAAAAAAATTAAAACAATCAGCAAAAATTCTTCTGATAAACGCCAAAAAAAAAAAAAAACAGCGAAAAATCAAAAGAAGAAAAAACAAAAAAAACATAACTTATTTCCCTTTTACATTGATATACAAATGTAATAAAAGTATGTATCTATATACCTAACTATAATATATTTACATACATACAAAAATATTTTAATTTTAATCTTTAAATTCTCTCTTACCTTGTTTTCTCTTTTCTTTCCTTTTTCCCTTTTTATTATTGCTGGCAAAATACACACAAATGTACTTGAGGGTTTCTTTTTGGCTTTTGAGTTTTTCTAATTTGCAAAAACTTCAAATATATATACAAACATATTATACACTTTATATATACGACAGCATGTATACATAATTACATACATGTATAAATTTTTTTTATTATTTCAATTCCTGTTTGAATATTCGCGTTCATAAAAACTTCTCAAATTAATGTTTGAAAGTAAATAAAGATGTCTCTTTAACTCTTTTTTTTTTTTTTTTGTTTTATATTCTCTTAATTTATTTTATATTAAAATAGCAATTAATAATTTCAATTTAATTATATTAATTTTATTAAAAACTTTACTTTTTAATTAATTTAAAAAAAAAAGAAACAATTATAATTTGTGCTTTTTATGAAATGATAACAAATTTTCAATTTAAATAACACAACATTCACTTATGTAGGTATACCTGCATTAATAATATGTACATGGAATAAATGATTATATATGTATATATGTATATGTAAGTATGTATACATATGTATGCATAAATTGTAAATGTACTTATGTATATATTATATCGTTGGGTGTGTGTAGATTCAGCAAAAAAGAATTTTTAGCAAATAAATATTTGGTATTAGAAAATTTTACTCAATTTATTTAAAATTTAATTAAAAAATAAAACAAAATTATTTATGTTTCTTTTATATGCAATATATAAGTAATACTAAATGTATATTTTCGCATTCAATGTACATAAATACATATGTATGTTTGTACCCGTATGAAATTATATATAATATTTAAATTGCACTTAAATGCTTAATACAACTTTTTTTATTTGCAAGTATTTTTATTAAATCTACAATTTATGTACCTACAATTATATTTTTTTAATTATTTTTTTTAAATATTAATATATATATACATACATAAATATACATGTGTATATATGGTAAGTAAGTGGTTTATAAAGATACACCAAATATTTTTCTCAAGATCTCTTCTTCTATACTCTAATTTTATGAATTGAGAAAATACAAAAACAAAAAAAAAATATTGTTGAATATTATGTTTTATACTAAAATACATACATACATACAAAGTAAAAAATTTAAATTCTTTGAATTAGGATAGGATTTTATTTTTATGTAAATATGAGAATGTTTCTTTTATATTATATTATTATGTTATATGCTTATACATATACTTTATAGATTACTTGTACACAATATAAATATATAATAATGTATGTATACTATATGCATTTATACCATGTATATTTATATATCCAGTATTAAAAATCCACTATGTATATATTATTTCTATTTTGCACATACACATGCACAGGGTGTGGTATAATATTTTATTTTAGTAGGTATGTATTTCTTTTTTTTTTCTAAATTCTAAATAGTATTTTTATTTTTAGTGAAAAATTTATGAAAAATAAATTTCAAATAAAATTTATTAAAAGGAAAAATATTAAATCTCAACTTTCTTTAATAAAATCTTTGATTTTTCTTCTCTGTATATGTACAATAAAAGTATGTGGAGGAATGAAACTAAAAAATTTTTTAAAATTTCAATACAATTTTTTTTTTTCTTAATCAATTAATTATGTTCATTTAAATTTTCACATTTATCATTTCATATACTAGTAATTAATTAATTGTATTCTTTATTTATTTTATTAAAATATTTATGTATATTTTGTTGTAATATAATATTTTTGTTCTATATTATAATTTTTTTTATAATATAATATAATATATACATATATTATCATAAGATTAACTCTACAAATATACTTATTTATCCAAATTCATTTATATATGTATGTGTATATGTGTTGGTTAAATAAACTACACCAGTGACAAATAATAATAAAATATACTTAATGAAATTCCATAATATGTATAATAAGTAAATTGGAAATGTACCTTTAGTAAATACTTAACTATGTATAACACCTTAGTATAATTTTTTTTTCGTATTATAAATCTTAATACATATTATTATATGCAAAAAATTTTGATTTTTTTTTTTTAATCAAATAAATTTGCAAAAATTAGAATCTGATGCCTTCTTTTTTGATTTATTTTAAAGTTAAAATTATAAGAGCATCTTTTAAATGTTTAGCGTGTATTTGAAAATAAAACTTGACTTACAATTTTATTTAAAATTTGAAAAAATATTTATATCTTAATGAATTTTTGAACATGTACAATGTTAAATTATTTTAATATACAATTATAACAAGAAGAAAAATTCTTGTTTACAACTGCATTTAAAAAAAAAATTATTCTCTTCTTACTAAAATATCAAATTTCACTTAAATATTTTGTTATAATATTGTATATCGGTTTTATGACAAAAAATATTAAATAAAAGGAAATTAATTAAAATTTTCGCCGACAATATTTTCGATAAAAAAATAAAGCATTACATGGAACCGATTATAATACTAATATGTATAATTTGCACAGGAAAAAAAAAATTTATTTTTTTTATATACACATATTTACTTTTGTATTTTTTATACACAAATTTTTATATAATATAATATTGGTATATAATAATTGCAAAAAAAAAATTTACTTGAATAAAACTTTTCTTTTTTTTTCTTTTAATTTTTCATTCAATTTGTGCGATACGCGAAAAATAGAACACAACTGTTACGTTCAGTTATGATGAAACTTTAAGCTGAACTAAATTCAATGTATGGAAAATCTGGTTTTCTACTATTGATTTGCTTGTTTTTCAGTTATTTAATATTTAATTTCTTTTTATTCCAGTAAGAAATACAAAAAATATATACAATTTACCTACATATTCAAAACAAATTAGCATATGTATATATTTTCAGCTCTCTTATATTTCATTTCTCTATACTAAAAATAAGTGGAATCTAAATTAATATTTTCCAGTATCCACATTCCAAAAGTCTTTTCTTGTTTTTATAGGTTATGTTTCATTTAATAAAATTTCATGTGCTACATTATTGTATATAGTATGCATGCACGTATGTACACATATATCATATGTAACTGTAAAATAAAAAAAAATTTTTTTTTTTGACAGCTAAAATGACAGTTTTTATCAATACTATGAAAAACGATATACAAAATTACAACAAAAAATAATTTCAATGTGTTAGAACTGTTTTTTGTATATGTGCCACGGCTCGTAGTAGTGCGAGCATTGAACTAACACATAATAAAACAAGAGAAGAGATTTTTATATACATATATGTATATACCTTACAGGTAGATAAGAAAATTTGATTGTATTAAATATAAATAGATAAGAAAATGAAATACATGTACACGATACGCAGGTAAAATTGAGATGGCAAAAATCTCCCATATTTCGTAAAAGTAATCTAAAAAGGTAGGTATATAAATTACAATAATATTATTTTATTTGTTTATGTGTTAATTTAGTTTTTATCAGCAATTCAGCACTTAAATTGAAATAAGAGCCATCTATTAGTATACGTATCAATTAATGTGTGCATATTTTTTTTTTGAATATTAAATATATTCCAATAAAAATTTTAAAATTATTTTGAATTTAGTTGTATTTTAAATAAATTTTAACGTTTATAAATTTATAATAGAGTTGTGTCAAATCAATGGTTTGTTAAGTAGCACTTTTCCTTTCCTTGAACCAGTGAAAATACTGATTGCATAGATTTAGGGTTGGGCTAGATTCAAAAACAAATTGAAAAAAGAGTTAGTACAATTTTGGGTTACAACTTTTAAAGGGGAGGAAATAGATAAAAATTTTCTTGTTACTTTACTACAAATGAGTTGAAGAATTACTATAGATCTACCTCTAGTATAGTTTCTAGTATAGATCTGAACATTGGTGCAGTGGTTATGGCACCGGTCCTTTTACCGAAGGGTTAAAGTATTCGGAATCAAACCTCGGTCAGGTCACTATAAAAATTATATTCAATATTATAACCCAGTATACAACAGATATTATAACGTACAAGTAATTTTCATATATTTATAGTATTCGATTAGAGAAAAATAAACAGTAAATAATTATAAGCTTAAATATTTAATATAAAGAAAAAAATACGGTTGGCCTAGTTAAAACTCTATGACGCTATGAAACTAGGGCATGATATCATGCACTATCCCTATGCTCCTCCTACAAGTGAACAAAGGCAAAAAAAGTAGATCTTCTTTAAAAATTTTCACGTTCTTTTAGAATATTTTGGTCAGGAACCGTGAAAGAAAATTTTGTTATGTGTTATGGATACTAGATATATGAACTAAAATTTGAGATCCAATATCCAATTAAGTTTTTCTACATGCGAACTATATTTGTTAGTACATTTGTATGTACATCATATTATCCCATTATTTTATTTGAAACGATAAAATTCAATTACCGATTTTTAATTTTTTTAACATCTTCAATTGTGTTGTATCTACATTCCACTATGTTGTTTCAAGTATGTATGTATATACATTCGAACGTACATGTTTACGACTCTGCAAAATAACTCGTAAATCTTCAAATTAATTTGTGTGACAAATTTTATATTATGAGTTTACCTATATGGGCAAACATAAATATAGTTGAATTAAGCGCAAAATGAACCATTAAAAAGTTTTCATGGTTAGTTAGTTTTAAAAACGGTTTTTAACATTTTTCTCGGTGAGAAAAAATTAATTATTTTAACAAGTCATAATCGTTTAAATTAAATCATTAAATATAAAAATTTAAAATCCAGATAGGTAACAAGTAAATTTACACAATGGCAGCATTTTCTATAGAAAACATTAATATATTCATAATATTTGAGCCTATAATGTCTTGCATTTAAGGCAAATTATTATTATCTATCAATACTTTTCAAAGGTGATGAACTTTTGAAAATGAGTTTTACAAAAATCAGTACTATTCATAGTAAAATTACATGTTTTCTGAACAAGCAAATTATACTAGACAACTTTATTTTGTACCTTTCTCTTTATATTTACCGAAATAGCTACATACAAGTTATTGGAAATTCTCTGCAAATTTATTAATAAAAAACTTAAGATGCCATTAAAATTAAAAAATCTGAAATTATGTAGAATTAAAAATAAATGCATAAATATCATTATCCTTAATCCAAGCCTGTAATTTAAATTGCTTAATAAAAATTTTATAATAACAGACGCTGTAATCAAATGATTTAAAAACACATTTATTTTTAATGTAAAACATTTGTAATTTTTTTATCGTGTTCAAGTTGTACTTTTAATTATTATCCTTTTGAATTTCAATTACAGCTGGTCTTTGTATAAATAAAAGAAGTATAAACAATTTCGCGGCTAGTTTTAAAATTAATTTGCAGCCGCTCCAAGCCTGTAATTTAATTAAGCTCGGATATTTTAATAAACGAGAGCTTGAAAACTCTTATTTCTTTTTGTAAATTTCTTTAAGGATAATGGGTTATTCAAAACAAATTTTTAAAGGATATGCCATTTTTTTAATATTAATAATTTTTAAAAGTAATTTTCATGCTATTGAAAGTTTGTACGTTGAAACATTGGATTTTTTCTACCGTAAGTTTATCTAAAGCAACTACAAATGCACGTTGTTTATTTGGTGTAAGAATTTTTTTTTTGATATTAAGTGACATTGATTGCATTGTGAAATTAAAAATTTAGAAACTAATTATGTAGATGGGACAATCAAAGTGACCAAATATCCAACTAGACAATCGCACATTTTTTTATCCTTCTTTAACCTACGAGTATAAACAATAAACGTATTTTATACCATTAATTTTAGGTAATCCTAATAGAAATGGATCTGTTTGTAAGTGGAATTTAATTACTATCGACAACAAAAGATAAATTGAAATTCTTTAAAGGTATATGTGTACCACCTGGATCATGTCCTGGATTATATGATGGCAGTGGTCTCCTTGACTTAAGAATAATGATATCTGTACAAGAAAAATTAATTAATTTAATCTTTAAATTCTGAAAAAAATTTCTCTTCTTCTATAGAATATTGTACCACCTACTACCGCCGCAACAACTGTTTCTCCTAGTAATGTTACCACTGCACCTAATGCATTATTTGCTGGTAATTGTTCTTTTAATCTCATTAAATGTTGCAGACCTGGTAGATATAGATGTGGTGAACGTTATCCACCACCACCTGGTAGTCCAACTCCAATAACAGGACAACCTTTAAATGGAGCTTATCCCTGGTCGGCCAAATTATTATTAAAATTAAATGAACAATATATTGCTGGTGGAGCACTAATTGATTTTAAACATGTGATCACTGTGGCTCATAAAGTATCTGGTTTGACGTAAGATCAATTTTTATATCAATAATTTGAAATATATAAAAGCAAACCTATATTATTTATTTAATTCTGTAATATTAATTTTTCCTTTTAAGTCCAGATAATTTAATAGTTCGTTTAGGGGATTGGAACTCTACTAATGGTACAACACCAATTCCAGCAAGATCTTATAATGTTTCAAAGATTATAACACATCCGAATTTTACATCAGTAAATTTATTTAATGACATTTCTGTTTTAATATTATCAACTCCAGTTATTTTGGGTTCTGTATCAACAATTGGTACTGTTTGTTTAACTAGAGAACGTAATTACAATTCAAGATGTTTTGTATCTGGTTGGGGTAAAGAAAATTATGCCGGTGCATATTCTTCAGTACAGAGACATATTCAAGTTGGAACTAAGCCACCAAGTGTGTGTCAAGATCAATTTCGTAAAACGAAACTTGGTCGTACATTTATTTTTAATTCAAATAGCTTTATCTGCGCTGGCGGAGAAAGTGGAAGGGATGCTTGTACTGTGAGTTTCGTTTGCATATAACAATTTCTTAATAAAATTTCGTGTGAAGTTTGACTTTTTTTTGTTTTTTAGGGGGATGGTGGCTCACCGTTAGTTTGCGAGATGAACGGAAGGTAAAAATAGCATCTATTAATTTTTTTTTATTTCTGTGTAAAGATACGATTACCTGTTTTTAAGGTGGGCTGTTGTTGGACTTGTAGCTTGGGGTATTGGATGTGGAACAAATAATGTTCCAGGAGCTTATGTTAATGTTGCATCTTATATACCATGGATTGAAAATGTTATAAAATTGAATTAGTTTTTAGGATGAAAATTTTAGTATTACTAAAAAATTAGTATCAATATTTAAAGTGTATTACTTGATTTAATAGAATATTGTTCAAAAATATTCAGCATTGAATCTCAAGTTCTTAATTTGTTTTATTTCACATACTAGAAAAGTTTTAAATAACTTTGCAAATTTGAGAATATGAGTGATAGATCAAAATTTGTCACACATATTGAAGGATATTTTAAATTAAAATTAACTAAACATACTTGTTTTTCTTCTTATCGGAACTGTCTCTTTATAAATTCTTTATAGAGTTTTTACAGACAGAATTACTAGGCACTGCATTCATTACCTAGGCACTGCAACATAAGCATATTAAACGAAGTAGACACTTATTTGAATTTACAATATAAAGTTTTTAATTTTGAATACCATAGATTAAACTATATTAATCTTTGCTTAAAGAAAATTCTCCCAGCTGAAGAAATTCCAAAGAAAGACAAATTTGAGACAAATGAATTGGAAAGTTTGTCAAGTACTTATTAATGCTTTTCTAAAAGTCCACCTTATTTTAATGAAAGAAGACGTTGTCTTAAACCATGCGGAGAGTTTTCCCAGCTTAGTTTTGCATCACTCATTTTTTATTGGAAATGTTTTTAACTCCCATAAGTATATTCAAACTTTTTAAGCTTTTATATCTTGTATTGGCAAAAAAACTAAATTCGTGTGCATGGAATCCCGACAAGTAGCACACGCATAGTTATTTACCGCAACCGCGAAATGAAAATAAGTTTTCATTGCGCACTTATTTAAGGGCAAATTATCACCTTTACTCAATGTCGCAGTTCCGTTCTAATCATTGAGGGATTGTAATTCCCTGAATGTTATTTACCGTTTCTAGCTAAAACCTGAAAAAAATATAACAAAAACATTTTATTTGCTTTTTTCTATACAGACTACTCATTTTTAAAGCAATTTTGTTAATAAAGTGTAAACAGTTTTAAAAAACTATAACCAGTCAATCTCATATCTTTAATATAAAAAACGAAAACGTTTTCATGGCCAAGGTTAACCCAGTTTACGCTTTTATCTCCAAAAATTGTTCATGAATCATTAATTTTAAATATGTGATACCAATTATCAAAAACATTATAGTATGTATGAAATTTTATATATCTAGGGTGATTGTACAAAAATTATTATTACTCATTATATTTTAACAAAAATCCATTGAAAAGTCTGGTTGAATTAAGTGCGTAATGAAATTTGTTTAGGCAAATTTTATCTGCTCATCTGATTTGCAACGTATGCATAGTGAATTATTGGGGCATACTGAAGAACTAGAGGACGAAACTTTATTTTTTAGTGTATTCCTTATTTCCAAACGATTTCGAAACTCTTCACAGCTCCTGCACAATAGTCAGTCATCACAATTTAAAACTTTCATTTCAATCTTAATGGCATCACAATATTTGTCCTGCTTTTCAGTCAGTTATTCGTATCACCATCCAAAATTTCAGTTTCAATCTTAATGGCATCACAATATCTGTCTTGTCTTTCAGTCAGTTATTCGTATTACAATTCAAAATTTCAGTTTCAATGTGAATGGCATCACAACATCTGCCCAGCCTTTCAGTCAACTATACGTATCACAATTCAAAATTTCAGTTTCAATCTTAATGGCATCACAATATCTGTCCTGCCAATATACATATATATTATGATTTTTTAAAATTTTTTTTGAATTGATTTGGATATACATCGATATGAAGGCGTTTCTCTTGGGGTTAAGTATTTTTTATCAAAGTTTCTCAATAAAACATTAAGTAAGCATGTTGTAAAGGACTAAATCTATCTCATATTCGTTTCAATGAAACAATGTCTTAATATTTAAAGCGCAAAAACAAATTAAAAGAAATCAATTTCACCTTATTATTTTGGCCTTTTTCCTTTCTTCTCAAAATCTTTTTCAAATTAAAGACATACAGAGGCTTCTTCGCAAAAATCGCAATGTATAATAATTTATGAGACCTTGTGGTACATTACATATTCCTGTTTTTTTATTTTTCCACAATGTTCTTTACAAGTAAATAAATTTTATTGTCAATTTAACTGACTTCTACGAAATATTTAGTAATGGTTTCACGTAAGGTCTATTAGAGCAAAAAATTTTTTTGGTTCAATAAGTTGGTATATGATACCTAATATCATTTGCCATCATTATTTAGAATTCAAATGAATAATGAATAGAAAAAAATATTTTATGTGTTAAAATATTTTATGAATCTTATAGTTAACCGATCCAACTGCTCTTAAAGAAAATGTATTTCATAAAATATTGTAAATATAATTTTGATTAGTTATGATATGATTAATATAATGAGGATTTTTTTTCTCCTGTTCGGAAAATACCAAATAAATATGCTATTAACTCATAATCTGTTCGATTTTTAGTGCTTCATAACTAGCTATTATACATATATATAACAAATTTCAAACGTTAGTAAGCTAATAAAAGCTATTTAAATGAAATTATTGTTGATAAATAAAATATTAATGTAATTTAATTAAAATTCAAAATTACATATTTTATTCAAAAATATCCGAAAATATGGAATGTTAATCGTAATTATCATGAATTATAACACTCATTATGTGATTTAATATCCATAAAATTAATTTTTACTTAAAAATATTCTATAAATAAATGCTTCGGGTGTTAAAATTTTTAGTATTTTCGTGAATTTTTATATTGTTTAGCAATAATATCGGGGATTTTAATTTAAAAACAAACTTTAAACACATCATCGCATATTCAATATTTTATAAAAGTGTTTAATTTGAAAAACATAAGTTGAATTGAATTTTTTTTTTAATTATTCAAATTTATTTAAAATTTGCTGTGTTTTAGCATTTAATTTGTGAAATATGATGGTTTTTAAATTGATAAATATCAAAATTATTGGAATATTATTTTTATTAATGAATCAATGTAAAAGTGGTGATATTTCAGATGAATGGCTTGCATTAGATGATCAAGAAAGTAAGAATTGCAGTAAAGTATAATAACTATAAAATATTGGAAAAACATTCGGAAAAAGTGCTTACGAAATATTTAAGGATCCAAGAAAAAAAATTACTCTAAAATATTTTGTGTTCCAAAAATAAATTTTTGTTATTATTTAAAATCAACTTTGTTAAACTTAGTTAACAACACCTCCACAACAAGAAAAATTAAATTGGCAAAAAATATTGGCAATGCTGAACATTTTCATTATCGCACAATAATGATATTGCTATTATCGTTATTATTTCTATTAATAATGTGTTTGTTCATCGGTTATTCCTAGGAAAGTTTTCATTTGAAATATCATGAAGCTGGTTAAAATTTTGTTTTTAAAACTAACCAAAAGTTTATACACAAAACCAAGTGTAAGACAAAAGAAGTCTTTACGACTTCTTGTAATAAAACAAAAATTTTCTTTCCACCTCTACAATCTGCGGTTAACTTGAATATTTTGTTTTGCTTATAAATTTAAATACAAATTTTTTTCTTATTCACACCAGAACGATCCCATATAGTGTTAATTGTAGCACGTTTTTTTTGTTTCTTGATTCAGTTGATCTGCGTCTTGCTTTGCTCTGATTTTAATTCTGTTTATTCCATCCGCATTAAAATGTTTCTCAAAATCTACTCGCCAATCAACAATTTTTTTGAAACAACCTTGAAAATATCCAATTTTTTATTATTTTAATTTTTCTTTGTTGAATTATTTGGTTTTTGTTTTAGTACTAAAAATATTTTTAAATATTAATTTTATAGGAGCCCCACGACAAACCGTTCTTACGACTACATGTGAGCAGTTTTTAAATTAAAATGAATATCAACTTACCTACTTTTAAAACAATTTTATTTAGGTATATGTGTTCCACCAGGATCTTGCTCAACAAGCACAGCGACACCAAGTACGCCGACTGATGGAACTGGTCAAATAGATATCAGAATTGTAACAAACGTTTGTACTCTGCTCGAACATAATATCAAATTTTAGACCATCATTCATGTTTTCTCATTTGTTTTGTTCGTTTTTTTTTTTGTTTCCACTGTAATTACTGTTTTTTCTTTACTGTTCTTTGTCTATTTCCTCTTTTTCTGTTTGGATTTCATTTTCACTTCAATGATATAGAATTTAACAGGAGTAACTGTTGCTCCAACAAATGCAACACCAGTAACATGTCAATATGGTTTAGTTAGCTGTTGTCGTTTAGGAAATTACAGATGTGGTGAAACATATCCACCACCACCAAATAGTCCGTCATCCGGTCCAAATCAAGCACAATATGGTCAATTTCCATGGCAAGCAGCTCTTTTAACTGTACCAGGTGATGTTTATATTGGAGGTGGTGCATTGGTTGACAATCGACATATTTTGACAGCTGCACATAAAGTTTATAATGTTCCGTAATATATTTCTTTTCCTTAACAAGTAAATTTTTATTAAAGGAAAAATTGTTTTTAGATTAACATCTTTAAAAGTTCGTTTGGGTGAATGGAATGCCGGAGCAAACAATGAGCCTATACCACCTCAAGATTACACAGTTTCTAGAGTTTTCATAAATCCTTCTTTTAACTCCTCTAATTTATATGCTGATACAGCTTTATTACGTTTATCATCGATAGTACCTCTTGGAACAACCACTACAATAGGAACTGTTTGTTTAACACTTGCTTCATTTGTAAATTCTACTTGTTATGTTGCTGGTTGGGGAAAAAATGATTTTAATGGAAATTATCAAGCAATTCAAAAATTTGTCGATGTAACTGTTATTGATTCAACGACATGTCAAAATAATCTGAGAGCAACACGTTTAGGATCCAATTTCATATTAAGTGCAAATGATTTTATTTGTGCTGGTGGAGTTGCTGGAAAAGATGCATGCACAGTATATAAAATTTTTTTTTCTTATATTTTTTCTAAGTACAAATTTTTTAAAATTTATTAAATATGCTTTTAGGGCGATGGTGGATCACCTTTAGTATGCCAAACAAATGATAACAGGTAAGACTTCAATGTGCACTGTAATAATTATTTATATTGGTGGCAAGGGTATTTTCCAGTTGAAATTTCTAAAAATGAGGTTGAAATTCAATTGAAGTGAAATTCTTTATCTCAATGTTTGATAGTATTGCTTATACAAATGATACCTTGTGACAGGATGTTTATATAAGCCTGTAAAAGTCAGGTTACCTTACACAAGATGAAGCGATGGATTTTATTGATTAATTTATATCTTTTCACTCTAAGTTCTGTAGTACTTTTCAATTTGAAATCACTAGTATTGTTTCAGTTCACGTAGCAATGCGATCTTGCCATGTGCTAGTCTAATTATCAAAGATCTAATTAGCACCAAAATTTACCACTAGGATCTTATTATAAGAAAAGTTCACAAAAAACATGAAATGTTTTGAGTGTCTCTCCCTGAAAATATGCAATTTTTAAAAATTTAAAAAAAATTTTTGGGAACTATAGAATTTTTTAGCGAAATTTAGGCACAAACTTTAACACTCTATTATGTAAATAGCTTATTTATCAAATTATTTTATTTATTTAAGGTGGGTAATTATTGGTATGGTCGCTTGGGGAATTGGATGTGGACAAAGTAATGTTCCAGGAGTATATGTAAATGTTGCAAATTTCATTACATGGATTCAACAATCAGTACAGACACCTTAATTATTTACATTCAATTTTTCATATGAAAGTATTGCTGTTATTTTTATGTTTTTTAATTAATTTTAAAATAGTTTAAGAAATATGAAGTATCTTGTTTGGTTCATATGTGTAATTCTTAAAGTAACTTGAATGTTTTCATTATATTGTACAAATTTTATTGAATTAGCTATGCTACAAGAATTAAAAAAAAAAATCTACTTACTGTCAAAAATTTCTACAAATAAAATGCGAAAATGATTTAAAAAAATGTTTAAAATTTTCAAAATATTTCAAAAACCATGAAATTTAGTAATTTTAATTTTTCGTGCATATTAAAAGTTTAGTGCTTTTGAAAATTTTAAATAAATAATAGCCACCTGCTCTCGATTTTTGACAAAAACACAAAAATTAAAAATGTGATTCTATTCTCTTTCCATTTACATTGATAATTATTATTTGTGCAGGTTTATGATTTCATGCCATTGAGATCATGTTAACAATAAAGAAGTTCGAAAATCTCAACTTTTATCTATTAATATACCGTTCGATTGATGCACAGTTCTAGAACAACTTATAAAAAAGAAACATTATTTTCTAGCTATAAATATTGTAAATTGAGCTGAATTTTTTCATTTTAGGCAAAAATTCTATTTTGTCTTAGACAAAGTAAAACAAATTAGGCTTCAGATAGGGAATAACTTGGCCTTATCTTGTATTACTGAAACTCAGAACAATAAGGTTGTCATTTCTCTGTAAGACCATAATTTTTTTATTCTAATTAAAAAATTCATTCCAAATATTTCTACTTCAATTTAAAGAAAATGTATTTAAGGGACTAAGCACAAGCTAAGTTCAAAAAATGTAAAATCAGTAATTAAAACCGAAAATGCTATATTAATTAAAAATTCAATTTTAATAAAACTCCAAAAGAATAGTGTGCAAAGTGTACTGAAACTTATTCGACATTTAATTTTGATGTATTGGTGCCAAAATGTGATCATTAATTTTTAGAAAATTCGTAAACTGCTTGGTATTATTCATCAATTAATAATTTAAAACATTCATTACAAATTCATAATCCAGTATTTATTACTTTTGGGTTGAATTAAAAACTGTTAACCAATGATAAGCATTCATCATTACCTAAAAATAAATTAAAAATTAAGTTCGTTAAGTCATTTGTTAGGTTCCAGCTGAACTGTAGTGATTACTTTTTAAATCGATACAAAATACTCTTATGTTAATCGAACTGAATATTTAACACTAGTCATAAGAGTATACTTTCACATCTTCTGAACAAAGTAATTTAGATTTATTTAAAAATAACTTACTGTCTTGAAGGTATCAAGTGAAATTACATTAAAACCAATAGCTTTTATAACAACATCTTTCGATGAACCTTCCATTATAGTTAAAACATCTTTTTTATAATTTAAATCTTCATTTATCCAATCATGATTATAAATTGAATCCGAAAAATTCCTACTCTATAAAAATTTCAAAAATATAATAGAAATTTAAAATAAATTATTTTTATCTTACGGCATTAGAAAGTAACATTCCGCAATAACAAATCGAATACATCATAGCACATTCATTTGCAATTGGTGGAGAAAATAAAAATAGCCATGGTATAATGCTTCTCATAACTTGAATTCCCATACAACATATTAAGAGTGAACATGTCAATAAATTTAATAATATTTGAATTCCAAATATTTGATTAATTAAATCGCAAAGTCTATAAATAATAATTATAATTATACATTATTGTAGTTTTTATTCTTTATTCTTAAACCAACTAGGGTTTATCGCTAAGAGCTTACCTGAGAATTTCTGTTTGTTCGTCTACGATGTGTTTTAAAATATTTATTGGTTTTTTATATTTAAATTCAAGATTTTCAGATGAATCTGTAATTTTATATATTTTGTGAGCAAGTAAATCATAATGCATACATAATTGTAATACTGCTACAAAAAAATATGAATTCATAGAAACTAAACCATAGCTGATTCCAAAGAAATGAATTATATGAAAACAATAAGTTAAAATGTACATTCCAAATGAGTCAGGTTTAAATTCCATCATAATATCAGAAGGATAATAGTATTGATATATTCCAGTTTTTGAATATTCTAATATTGAACGAAATAATGGGTATAAACCATTCACTGAACAATTAAATGTGAAATAAGAAAATTGTGCTCTATTCATTAAATCCGATATATTTTTATATTTTTTAACAATTTCACATTCAATTTTATTTAAATTATTCATTTTTGGAAATTTTTTTTCTAAACTCTCATTTAAATCTAAGATTTTTTGTTGGTAAATCCATGTAACAAACCATTTTACACTTATTAGAATATTAAAAGTTCCACTACTAAGAGGAATAACTATTTGTGTTAAACCTTTATTAAATCCTTTCAAAACTAAATTTATTTCATTTCTAAGGCAAAATAGATTTTCAAGAATAATATAAATTGAAAATATTTTGCTAAATAGATTTTGATTAAAATTTTTAAGATAAATTCTTGATGCCATTACATTTGATGTAAAAATTGTTATTTTGAAAAAATCTAAAAATGTAATTTCCTTATTTTCATGATTTGGAGCCATTTTAATTCATCACACTTGGAAAACTAACAACCGGTTGCAGTTTGTTTTAACACTAAACTAACAAGTAACATTGTAATTTAAAAAAAATTTTTATAACGAAATGTTTGTCATCGTATTTAATAAAATAATTATTTTTAGGTAGAATCATTAAAAAAAGGGTATATCCAATTAATTTCTTGCACGATAGTATTAAAAAAAGGGATATTTAACACCGATTCTCTAATGAAGTCCTATATGTGACCCCAAATCCAATTTTAAATTGCTCAAGATTTATACATGTCAAAGAGATTTATGCTCAAAAATACAGTTGGTTAGGCTAGCTAGTAAAATTATTAAATATAAATGAAAAACGTTGAAACCGTGGTGAATTAAAATCATGGTCTGTCAAAAAGTAAAGTTCTCTTTAACAATTAAAGTCTAGAAGTTGCATTTTTTCAAACAATAACTTCAACTCTAAATAATGAGAAACTTAATTTTCAAATACGAAATATACCTTTTGCATATATTTGAGATGAATAATAAAGTAATAATCTTCAATAAATTTGCTCTGATAATAAAAATTCAATTTGATTGCTAAGGCGAACTAAGTCAGAAGAGGACAAAAGTGTCATGCTCTTATATGACGTGAACAAAGTATTAAGATAAAAAAAACGGTTGCAGAAAAAGAGATGAAGGAAAATTTGGAGTTTTGTCAAACAGATAAGGCGCTAGGACATTAAAGCTTTTTCAAAATAACTATAGTTTCTCAGGCATATGAAAAAAATTTGTTTAGCATATTATTTTCAAACACAATTTGTTAAATCGCACTTTTAACAAAATATCACTTAGAAAAGTAATATCTCCTCTAATGCTAAACGAACTTCAATTTTCATACTTTTCAAAATCTTTTAAACAAATTGTTTAATCTATCACATAGAATTGAGTTTCAACCTTGAATAATATAGACGTGAAATTTTTACTATATTACTTCTTTAAAATTTTCACGTGCAAAAGCAGCCGTACCATATTTGAAAATGAAATTCTTAATTTACATATGAAAATCAAAAATTGGTGTTTTTTTTTCAGGCTTCAAAAACGTGTTGGTATAGGCATGTATTGGAAGAAACGTTTAATTACGCTAAATGTTCATTTTACAATTCGAATCATACGAATCCTTAAAAGTTTATAATAAATTACAATGAACGCATTGCAACAGTTTTATATTTTCTGTTAATGAAATTATTTTTTTCATAAAATCACAGTTAAAAAAATAATTACATAACCCAGTTTTATTGTGAGGAGGGGGTGGGAATTTTTTAATTAATTTCAATAATTTAAACATTAAAACCTCTATAACCTTCCATAATTAAAAATCAAAATTAATGTATTCAAAAAACACCAATATATTTAAAAAAAATCTGATGTGATCAGCACATAACCGACCGCAATGTGTATTTTCTAGTTAAGTTAAATGCTACAGAATATTATAAAAATGTCTGTTAAATACTTATTTTCAATTTTTAGGATATTAGTAGGCTTAAAGTTAATATACCTAGAAAAATGTAAATTTGGCTCTTAGTAGAATTTTGCTTTGTGTTACCCGAATTCCCTGAAATGCTCGCCAGTTAGTTTCGGTAAAAACCAGAACTCAAATATCAAATTTCAAGAAATTCTATCAATTCGTTCCGTAGATGTGGTGAAAAATGTAAAATCGGCCCGCAAATCAGTTTTCGAGCCCTGATCTTTCCAAAAAATTTATATGTTCATTGTTTTAATACGAGGAATTCAAATATTAAATTTCAATGAAATTGGTAGTAAACGTTCAGTTGTTGATGCCTGATTTCTTCCAAAAGTTACGAGGTTTCGCGGACGGTCGACTGGAGCTTATATATAAAATTTCATCGAAATCCGTTTAGCCGAACTTGAGATACACGTGTGCATACACAGACAGGCAAACCGACAGACCGACAGACCGACGGACCGACAGGTGGCTAAAAATAGTTTACTTACACTTCCCTACTATGGAGAAGTACGTTCCCACCGAAAACTCGATATGCAAAATTTGTTGCCATCACATCACCTACCTTATTGTATACACAATACGGTCGGTAAAAAGTAGCCAATTGCGTGTGGCAAAGATTTTTATTTTAAATTAATAAAAGAAGGTTCCCCTATTTTTCTGTCCTTTAAACATCGTTTCAACATTTTTTAAGCATTTAATTTTAAAATTAAAAAGAATTTGGATTTGTTTCAATAAATTAACCATTGCCATATTTTTTTAATTATTTTCATAAATAAGAAGTAAGTGAAAAGGTTGTGGTAACTTTTAAAGTAGTCTTCATTGTTAAAACACAATTTTAAGAAAATTTTCACAAATTTGTGGCGGAATATTTCCAATTACATAATAGGTTCAATATTATTT